ACCACGCCCACCAAGCCACACCACGCCCACCAAGCCACGCCCACAGAACCGGTAGTAAAAATAATTGCATTTCACCACTGGATGGGTTCTTTGTGGTGCGGAACCCACAGCCCGTCCCGTCTCCCGGTGGCCACCGGCTCTCCAGCGGGAGCCACAGCCTGCCAGCAGATGGACGAGGAGGGTTCCTCTGGAGCCCTGGGAAGGCTTGGATTCTGACGTGCCCAGGATGCCATCGCTGGTGCTGCTGCTGCTCCTCAGTGGCAGGCAGGAGAGTCTGGGCCCTTGGTGGCTCCTCAAGTGGCCCTCCTTGGCCTGAGCCCCAGTGGATGGTGGGACGCACCTTCCCCACATCCAGGCAGGGAGCAAAAGGGGCTGGAGGCCCTGAGAGGGAGGGGCAGAGGGTCGAGGGAAGTTGTGACAGTCTGGGGGTGGGTGGGAGGTGGAGAGCCAGTGGAAAGGGCTGTTGCTGCACCATCAAGCAAGCAGCCATGAGGGCATTGGGGCACCAGGCAGGGCTACCCTGCCCCTGTGACGTGGCCTCCTCTTTCTTTCCGCCCACAGTGACCTGCCTTTGCCGTGGAACCCCCTCTCTCCCCACTGCACCACGGAAAAGAACAGCTCCCTGGGGAGCATGGAAAGTCTGGACCCAGCCGGCCAGACCTACTATGAGGGCAGCCTGTCCCCCATTGACCAGGCCATGGACCAGAGCAAGCGGGACTCTGCCTACAGCTCCTTCTCAGCCAGCTCCAGCACCTCCGACTCTGCGCTGCGACCGGAGGAGACCAGCTCCGTGGACGGCGCCCAGCCCGGCCAGCTGCCGGAGCCTCGCTACCTGCAGACAGGAGGAGAGCCTGCGGGCCTTGGGGTCCGGTTGCCCTCCAGTGTCCAGTCGGGCTCTCTTCCTCGCCTGTCCAGAACGGCTGCTGCCCCTCCCCACCCGCCTGTGAGACAAGACAGTCTGCGTGCGTGTAACTCCCCGCTGGAAGACCCAAGAGCCCCGACCCACGCGGGCGGTTTGTGTCCCGAGAATTGGTGGAACTCGGACATCTCCCTCTGCTCCCCTGGCCGAGATGCCCATGGGCCTGGGGGAGCGTTGGCCACCACAGGCCCCCTGAAGGACTCTCCATTCCCTGACCAGTACTACCTACTCAGCTCCCACACAGAGCCTCACCTTGGGATGAAGAGGAGCCCACAAACCTCCCCCTCGTCTTTGGCTGAGAGCCCCAGAGAGCCCGCCGGAAGGAAGGGCCACGAGGTGGAGCTGAATAACTGTGCAGAGCCTCCTTCGTCCTGGAAGGCTGCCTTGGGTGGGCCCTTCGGTCATCGCCACAGCATCCCAGAACACCTGCTGGTGGCCCAGCTGCAGGCCTTGGAGGTCTCCCGTGGCCAGAAGGCTCCTCGCTGGACTGTGTCTCCACTGCACAAGGAGCAGAAGGACCCGCAGGCTCCGGAGCCCTGTGGCCAGAAGCCCTGCGAGCCGGCAGAAGAGCTGGATTCCCCCTCAACTGCAGAAGAGGGGTCCCCTTCCCCACGGGGCCCTTGCACGGCACTGGGGAGGCCCAACAACACCCTCCCGACCCGGGCTGGTTCCCCGTCACTGCCAGCGTTTGGCAATGGCAGCACCTCCCGGCGAGACCTCCAGGCAGCCCCCTGCGTAGATCCTTTGCCGGAGGCTGAAAGGAGCCTCCCAGCTGCCCAGAAGGGCCAGCATCGCTCTGCACACAGCCGCCGGCGCAGTGACCGCTTCGCCACCAACCTGCGGAATGAGATCCAGTGGCGGAAAGCCCAGCTGCAGAAGGCCAGAGGGCCCGGGGGGCCAGGGTGCGAAGAGGAGCCTGCCCCACAAGCAGAGGAGTCCCCCGCTCACACCGCAGTCCCTGCCCCTTCTCCCCCTCCCCTAGGGGAGGGAAGGCCCCTGGGCTCCTCTGGGCTGCCAGCTGGGGTCCCCAAGCGGTGGGGCTCTGAGCTGAGTGTGTTTGGGGAGGAGAGAGCTCCAAGCAGCCCCCAGAGGACACCCAAAGAGAAGCCGGTGGCCCGTGCAGGGGGGTGGGGAGGCGGCCGCTGGCGCTGGTCCCCGGAGCACAAGCTCCAGCCTCAGGAGTCCGAGCCGGGGCCGTCCGCACAGCTGCCCTTGGAGGAAGACGGCCTCTTGCCTTTTGCCGACCGGCGAAGGTTCTTTGAGGAGACGAGCCACCCGCTGCCCGCCAGGCCCTATGGCTCTCTGCAGGGCAGGCTGGAGGGCAGACGGAGCCCCGAGGCAGAGAAGCCGGGAAGTGCCGAGCACGGGACCTTCCAGCGTCACTCCCTGGACCAATCCTACCGTTGCCCACCTTCGCCTCCCGTCTACCAGGACTTCCAGCCGGAGGTTCTGAGGCTCTGCAAGTCCCTGGCTCGACCCGGAGTGGAGACGGAGCACTGGTGGGCTCTCCCGTGCTCGTGCGCCGTCCGGGAGGCCTGCGCTTACAGCTTTCAGGAGGAGTGCGCCGTGCTGCGCTCGAGGAGCATGCCAATGCCGCCACCCAGCCACCATGCCCACCATTGCCACCCTTGTTCCTGGAGCTGCCGCAGTGACTGCTGTTGCCCGGGTCAGCAGAAGCTGGTGGAGGACGGGGGTCCCTGGCATGGAAGGAAACCTTTTCAGGGGGTAAGTCGGATGTTCCCGTCCCATCATTCGGGGATGGGGAGGGGAGCCCAGCTGCCGGGATGGGCTTTCACAGCCTGCCCGGATTCTTCCCTTTTGCCCAGGCCAGGAGGGTAGGAGGTCAAGGGGCTCCCTGGCCTCTTCCATCCCTTCCCCTCACTCTCCTCTCCCGCCTCCTAGGAATTTCCCCCAGATGAATGGGAGCCCCCAGCCGTGAGCAGGGCAAGCAGCCACACTGTGAGGTAAGGATTTGCCAGGGAGAAAAGAAGCGGGGTTACCCCTAAAGAAACCTCTGGGGTGGCATTCTTGGCTGCCTGCTGTGTGTGTGTGTGTGTGTGTGTGTGTGTGAGAGAGAGAGAGAGAGAGAGGGGGGGGGGAGCCTCTCATTAACAGTGAAGGGAGGGAGGCACTGATATGTGCCCGCTTCCCTCACCCCCACATGAAGGGCCTGAGAGGCGGGTGACCCTTCCCGATATAGCAGGCAGGGCGCATCTCCTGGGAGAGAGCCGCTGGTCATCCTGGTCAGTCTCCCCTGTTGGCCAGCACAGGCCTGCTTGGTGGGGGAAGGAGACCAACTGGGCACTTGCCTTTGAGAAGCGTCTGTCTTGGGTGGGGAAGCCAACTTGTGGCTCGCCCCCAGCTTGGCTGCTATTAATCCGCTTCTGTCTGACCAAGGGAAACAAGTGTCTTTGGGCAGAATTAGTGGACCCCAACAGCTAAGAGACCCTCGTTCCCTCCTCAGAGAGCAAGGGGGCCTCGATGAGCAGCCCCCACCCACAGAGGGCGGGAGGAGGCAGCTCCCACCCACGCACGTGTCTGCAGCCCCCTCCTCTTTTTTTCCAGTCAGCTCCTGCCGCACAAGGTAGCCTTCACCAGGGTCAGCCCCTTCTGGACCTGCTTCGAGCGCACCGAACCAGCTGGGCCCTCTTTCTGCCGGGCCCCATCCACGCACAGCCTCCCCTGGGACTGCGAGCAGCCAAAGTGGGTCGCGGAGAAGGGGGGCTGGGAAGGGGGGCTCGGCGAACCTCACAAACCCCCCTTGCGCGAAAGGGCCTATTCGGAGAGCCACCTCTGCACCGAACCTGCCAGGGTCTCTGCGAGGGAGTGGCGAGAAGCCCCGTTGGCCGAGACGCAGGAGACAGCACCAAAGTCACCAGCCTGCCAAACCAGGAGAAGGGGGCCCCCACCTCCGCGCCCTCCCCCACCCAACTGGGAGAAATATCGCTCAGCCCGGGCTTCACACCAACAGCTTCTCCCTGCCCAAGCCTGCCGGCCCCATCATGTGGAGGAGTCTTGGGCCCCGGGCCAGCCTGGCTTCGAAGCGGCCAGGCAGCGTTCTCAGAGCCTCCCTGGGGAACAGCTGTGGCCCAACAGAGCACAACTGCAGTGCCCGCGGCTGCCCGGTGCAGGACCCGTTGCCGCTCCTTCCCTCCCCGAGCAAGACAACCCCCACTATTACTGCCACGGGTCGCCACCCAGGACCCGGGAGTGGCTGATGGCTGAGACGAGTGACCGGAGTGTCCCATCCAGGCAAGTGGTCTTCCATTGGTTTCCACTATCCTGGGTCCCAGAAGGATGGAGGGTTGAGAGGGGCGTCCCCAGGAAGCTGGGCCCTTCCTGCACAGACACCAGTGTCTATGCCCGCTTGAGGCAGAGGGAGGGCAAGAAAGGGGGGCTGTGGCAGCCGTGCCAATGAGAAGGCGCTCCCTGTCCCTCCTCTTCCCTTTCAGGCAGAGAAGGGTGCAAAAGTCCTGTGTAGAAATCGGCCGCCCTCCAGCTCTGCCTGCCAAGGGAACGGTTGGTTAACAAAGGATGGGTTGGTTTTGTACTTACAGGACGGCCAGTTCCTCGGAGGGGGCAGCTGCTGAGGATCCTCCCCGGGTCGAGGAGCAGGAGACGCCAACCGGCAGCCCCTCAGAGCAGCCCCTCACCTGGCGTGAGTCCCTTCCCTTTGGGGCACAGCACGGGGCCTGTTTCGAGGGCAGCACTGCTGACTTACATATTCTGTGCCCACCAGATCCCCAACAGGGCACGCCTGTGTCCCAGGATGCTGCAGGGGAGTGTCACAGATCAGGGCCCCCTCCCTCGCGCCTGAATTCGGAGGAGCTGATGAGAGACGTGGCGGGCAAGGACCGCTCTCTGGCTGGAGTGCTGAGCTCTGGTTTCGGACTCCGCTCAGCAGCCGAGGTGATGGGCGACCTCTTTGCTGAAAGTAGCTGCCCGCTCTGGCCAAGGCAGGACTGGTCAATGCTGGGGAGGGGTCCCAGCTGCCCTGAAAGGTAGGCCTCCGTCAGGTTTTGCAGACTGGGGTGGGTGGGAGGGAGTCACACGCAGAAGCGTCAGTGCCAGCCAGAAGGGCAAGTCACAGGAGAGCCAGCCCGGCTGCAGCACTGAACTGGGCTTGAGGAGAGCTGAGTCCGGAACCCTCTTCTTTCACCTAGGTCCCTTGGGAGGGTTCACCGACAAAAGGGCGAACGACAAAACTGTGCCCGACTAAACCGCGTCGCTGACGTCATCAACAGGGCGACAACAGCGCGGAGATAGAAGCACGCTGTAAACCCTTAACCTAAACTTAACCCCTAAACCTAAACCTAAACCTAACCCTTACCTTAACCTAACCCTAACCCTAACCCTTAACCTAACCCTAACCCTTAACCTAACCCTTACCTTAAGTT